ACGACTATTATTATGGCCGCGAAACTAAGGGATCAATCCAAACTACGATAAATACACGAAATCTGTGATTCGTAAACGGTGGTTGGGTCATATGAAAAGTCGAAATCGTCAACGGCTACACGAACTAGGCTGGGATTTGCACAATGTTAAAGAGGATTAACCACAGGCAGCCCAAGGTCACTACTAGAAAAGCGGACGTGACTCTTACCGTGTTGCGCAACGTTTTATATTTATAAAGGTTTGTATGGGATGTTATCGGTTTGCTTTAAAAGAGAGAAAAAAATGTCTTGTTTTGAAATAAAATGAGCTTACCTTATTGCCTTTTTGTTTTCTTTGTTGCTTCCTAGCGTCTCAGGCCATTTTGAAGCGTTTTCGGCGAGTTAGCGCTACGTTGGTGTTCAGCAGTTGAACACGAACATAGCGCTAACTCGCCGAAAACGCTTCAAAATGGCCTGAGACGCTAGGAAGCAACAAAGAAAACAAAAAGGCAATAAGGTAAGCTCATTTTATTTCAAAACAAGACATTTTTTTCTCTCTTTTAAAGCAAACCGATAACATCCCATACAAACCTTTATAAATATAAAACGTTGCGCAACACGGTAAGAGTCACGTCCGCTTTTCTAGTAGTGACCTTGGGCTGCCTGTGGTTAATCCTCTTTAACATTGTGCAAATCCCAGCCTAGTTCGTGTAGCCGTTGACGATTTCGACTTTTCATATGACCAACCACCGTTTACGAATCACAGATTTCGTGTATTTATCGTAGTTTGGATTGATCCCTTAGTTTCGCGGCCATAATAATAGTCGTATTCGGTCAGTAAACACCATACCTGGTTGCATTATTCGTTAGCTCATAAGCTAGATATTGAGCTCCATTCTCAAACTACGTTTCTTGACGAATGACGGCTGTGAGGGTGGAGTGATACTTAGTGTCAGTGGTCGTATTATTGAAACGAGTAGAAGCACTAGCGAAAAACTCTTAACGTCTTCACCGTGAACCTCGAATATCTTCTATTTTAACGGTCGAAAGCACAAGCATTGGCAATGAAACAGCTGTAGTTCTACGTCTTTAAGTGTATACTTACGAGAGCTGCGATCCAACATGGCATGAACAAAAAGCTGAGGTATGTGAAGCGTACTTCATAATGGTCCACGATGCCGAATGCGAAAAAGATAACTGCCATTGCTAGTTGAAGAATCGAAATGATTTTCAATTCTCGCCGGCTGAACGCCATGTCGAGTGGAATATTTCCGCGATGTTTAATGTAAAATATTTACTTGATACTTTAAAACCGACAGAACACAATAACTCGTTCCCAGTCTCATCGCGATTTCTTCGCTTGTCAGGGCCAGTGATAGCTTTGAGAGCGACAAAGA